CCCCCAAAAAATGAAACACCCTGACAAAAGGGTTTTTCCTTTTGGGTGCCCCCTTACCGCTTTGCGCAGGGGGGTTCTTAAAGGCCCCAGGTGGAGGCACTGCTAAAAGCTTCGGAAAAAATTGTTTTGGGGGGGGGGGGGGGGGGAGCAGTGCATCAACCTGTGCACTTGACGAGCCCCCTTGCGTTGCGTCTTCGCATCCTCGCAGCGAGCAGCGGCGACAGCTGTAGGCAGACACGGACAGCTTTGTCTTTCCAGAGGCGTGAAGCCCCGCACGCAAGGACAGTGTGTCTGTGCGTGTGTACAAACGGCAGTTATGGCGGCAGTTATGGCCGCATCCAAGAGTAGGAATCCCTCTCCAGGCTCTCGGTGTCGGAGGCACTGCTGTCAAACATGGTTAGCAGCGACGGCGGCCGTCGGCATGCTAGTGCTGCTGCTGGTGCCGGTCGCGTGGGTCGGCGCGTTCGTCAAACATCCATGTCCGCTCGGCCTTAGTAGCAGCTCCTTCATTCCGCCAGTTCAAGTTCTTCGCCCGAGCGTCGACACCAGGAATTGCGCTGTAAGTAAGAGCCCTGTTTGCCTTGCTTCCGTACCCTATACTGGTGCACGTGTCCTGTAAGACTACGGTAGTACTGCCGTGCTGTAGATTTTCTCTGAAACGGCAACCATTGCGGAGTGCGTACCAGTGAAAGGGACGTAAGGATTGGCATGCAGTGTTGACTTGCGTGCAGCTCTCAGATGAATGCGCTCAACGTGTCCAATACATATGCAACAGCAGAGTCTCATCGATGTGTTGTGACACGTGTCAGGAAGTGGGCGCTTGGAGCACCAGGCCGGACGGCGGCGTGCGCCGACAGTTTTTGAACACCCACCAACGGCTCACAGCTGACTGCTGTACTGCGAAGAGTCACCGACAGTATTGTGCAGCTCAGCCTCGAGTCTCACGCCATCAATTCCCCTCCCCCGCGCACACACACTGCCGCTGCTGTTGAAACGTTTGCACGCCGGCACCCTCTTCACAAGTCAGCACGGGGGTGAGACATGCCAGCCACTGCAGCAGGAGAGTTCGCCGACTAGCAGATCGCCCGACTTTCCTGGCCAACGACAACCTCACCCTCCCCCGCCCGGCCACCTGAAAGCTGACCACGATGGCGGCAGCAGCGTTGGCTGGATGGACTCCCTCAAGCGCGTCTGGAGCGACGTGACGTCTGGCTTGCTCTCTCGCCGTGAAGAACGGTCGCCGGAACGTTCCGACGAGCTTCTCCCCTCCGCCGAGTCTGCCCTCAGGCTTGCCAGGACTGCAAGAGGTGGGTCGGGCGGGGCGGCGGGGCGGGGGTGGTGGTTCCCGGGCCAACGCGCAAGGCGAAGGAGAAATCTCGCTAGGGCGGCGGAGCGCGCCGCGGCAAAAAGGACTGAGGCGGGCGGCGGCGGGGCAGCAGCAGCAGCAGCGAGCGCGCTCCCGAACGGGCTCGCGAACCAGGGCAACACGTGCTACCTTAACTCGTTGCTGCAGGCCTTGTACCACGCCCCGGGCCTGCGGGAGGCTGTTTTTGAGGCCTTGACTGGTGGGGGGGACAGCGAGACGGTGTTGGCGTTGGGGACGGTGTTCCGACAGCTGGAGCAGGGAGGGAGGTGCGAGAGCTGCTCTTGTTGTAGTTGTTGCTGCTGCTTTTTTTCAAATGGGGGTTGTTGCTGCTGTTGTTGTTGCTGCTGCACGTATAGGTTTGCGTCAGTGATGGCAGACACTGGCGTCAAATATTGCCGCCGCTGCTGTCATTTCCTGCCTGTATGTACCTCGTAAGCTTGTAGGTTTGGCGCTTGAAGCGTTCTTCTGAAGGAGAGTCTTGTTCGTGTTGTCCTCAACGCCGCTCGAGTAGTCGCGGTATATGGTGCTGCTGTCTCTTGGGTACCGTAAACATGCGAGTGATCACACACACCCTAGAGTAGAATTTTTCAGAGCTCGGTTTCTGCACGGGTTGTGTACATAGTCCAACCGATACAACGTGCAAGTAAGGCTCGACGAGGTCATTTGCCAACATCATGACCCTATTTCGGCATTGATTGACAGCCGTTTCGGTCTTGGAGCAATCTGTGAAAGCCGTTCAACCGGGGGTGTGCTATCACTCGCACTCTGTCTGGCTTCTCGAAGATAGAATACTACTTCAACGAAACAAGTCCATTCCGCAGCAGCAACTGGGCTTCCCCCTCCAACACGTTACCGTTTTCTTTTTGGGCAGCAGGCCTGCTTCCACGCTCCCGGTGACTCGCGCGATGGGGGTGGATCCAACGGTGCAGCAAGACGCGCAAGAATTCGGACGGTGAGAGGGAGAGTGAAATTTGATCGTTAAAAGTGAGGGTTTGGACGTTGGTGGCGAGAGTTCGAATGAGATTTGGAAACGGCAAGAGTGGAAACATTGTGCGGTAAGAGCGACAGTTGGGATGAGAAGTGGGACGGTGAAGGCAAGAGTTTTAGAGTGGGAGGGGCGGGAAACTCTACCTTGGTGGTCATCATCCACGGCTGTGTTTTTGTCAGTCCGGTGGTTGTGTTGTAGGAAAGGTAGGTGCAGCCCTCCTACAGTACTCCCTCTTGAGACGCGTGTTAGAATGTACCAAAGTTTATCACCCGTGCTGCGAAGCAATCGTTTGGTTTTCATGAAAACAACATCCTCAAAGAACGTGTTCTTCTCTTCCCTTCCCTTGGTGGTCGTTGTGCGTTCATCCAGTCTACACGTTGTATGATGATACTTTATTACCTAACGTTTTCACAATGTGCGTTTGTTTAGTACCTATACAATCCTACCCATACCCTCGAGCCAATCGGTAGTAGTGCTCCTTTGTTTACTAGCTGTAGCGTTCGAGCTCGTATCCTTTCTATTTGTCCTTGTGTTTTGTCTGCTGCTTGATCAGGTTTTTGTTCATGGCTCTTGAGGGCGAGAGCGATATCCAAGGGTCATCACCAGACACGGCAGCAGGGGAGGCGGGGGGCGACAAAGAAGTGGGGGGGCTTTCGGCCGCCATCAAGGATCTTTTCGCGGGACGATTGATGAGCTACGTCGAGGTGAGCATTGTGTTGAGTCCTGCTCATCTATTTACAACTGCTCTGTCGAGGTTTGGTGATGGACGATGCGTTGCCGGGCAGCTGACGAATATTTCGGTTTCTTGTTGGTTGGTGATACTCAACGTAACGTGCTCTGTCTGTTGAGATAGGTTGTGGCCGTTTGATATGGCTGTCTGAAGCTGATACACTCTGCCGAGAGAAGCTGACAACCTGCGTGCAAGAAAAGTGCATCGACAGGTTACCCTACCGTACCGATTTTGTTTTTTTCAGGGTAGAGGGATGACCACGGTTCAGATTATCCAGACTTGTGTGCATAGCGCCAGTATCCGCAGGTAACGAAATGGCGACAAGTTTGAGTTCTCGCGACGCCAGCAGAACGCGCGTGTTCCTGCCAGTGGAAAGCCGAAGAAGGTTCGAGTGGTTTGTTTGTCCTGTTTTTTTGTTTTCCCTGCTGACCCTGGCGGCCCGCCTACAACACATACACTGCTGCTGGTAAAACATATGCAGTGTGTGGATGTGGCGTTCACGAAGGAAAAGGAGGAGGCGTTTTACGACCTGCCCATGGACATCAAAGGAAGCGGGACGCTCCAGAAATCGCTCGACAGGTGTGCGAAATATTGATTGAGATTGGCGTTTGGCGGTGAAGGTTGTTGCCCTTCGGCATGTGCTTAGGTGCGGGTGCTGTATGTGGTGATGCGGCGGTTAATTGTCTGCTCAACAGCACGAACAAACTGTGTCCGCTACTTGGTTCGAGCTTGCTGAAATGTTCGTTGTATATTGAGCTCCTCTACGCAGGTATGCACACCCGAATCCATATTCATCTTTCGTTTGCAACAAGAATGATGCTCATTCCGTACGTACGTGTCGCCGCGGAAGTTCCCTCTTGACGTACGCGAGAGCGGAGTATTTCGTCGCAATTGGTTGATCATATTGAGGACAGCAGTCATGACACTATTTGTTTGGTAGTCCTAGAATACCGATATTTTTTACTTGTCTACAGTATGCTGTCACGTGAGCTGTTTGTTTGGTTCAGTGCAGCCGCATTCATTCAACGACCACAAGTTGTCCAATAATATGGTGGCGTTTTGGTGGCCTGTGTTTCGACCTTCCTTCACGTGTGTTGTGTTGCTTCTGCACTCGGCCAGGCGGCCAGGCGTTATCGCACTTTTCTATTTTGGTTTGCCGAAGAACGCGTTTGTCCGTGTTTACTGTTAACAGTTTCTGCAGTGAATTTGCATGTTTTTTTTTTTTGTGTGTTTTTGGTTTTAAAGGAACACGTTTGTTGCCTGTGAGCACGAAAACAATCTCTTTCCAACTCCCAACAGACTAACGGCGTCTGCTGATGATATAGTTGCCCTTCTTGCGATGCAAAGGTTTTTTCGAAATGATCCATTGTACTTCGAAGTACCTCACGTCCCATTGGTCATACCGTTGGTCGCGTGCACGAAATGATTTCGATAATTTTGCAGGTTCATCGAGGCGGAACTTTTGTCCGGAGACAACCGCCTTAGAGCTGGCGAGCATGGCTTGCAGGACGCGAGGAAAGGGATCCGTTTCCTACAACTCCCGCCGGTATTGCAGGTGAACACACGCTTTTTGTCAACGTTTTTTGGATTCTCCGACTTCGTGATAAAATATTTCTTTGCTATTTGTCCACCCTGTATTTGTTAAGAATGTTTTGGCCGACGCCTCGATAATGGTTACACTTTGATTCAGCGGCCCCCCGTTTTACCTTCGAAGAGCTTGGAGGGGCATCCACGCACGACGTCCAGGCAATAATCACCACGAAGTACTCTCCGTCAACCACTTCAGGGCCGTTTTGATTTCTTGAGGTTTAGGTTGCTTTCGCTGTTTTGGTGAACGTGTGTGTGCGTTTTTTTTTCGTTGCGTTTTTTGTTGTTGTTGCAGTTTCACCTGAAACGGTTCGAGTACGACCCGTACCAAGGCGACCTGGTCAAGATACACGACCGATTCGAGTTCCCGACGGAGCTTGACATGTCGCCATGGGTGACACCACCGCCGCTGTCACCGAAGGATGGCAGCAATAGCCATAGCGATAGCCACACCGATGCCGAAGACAAGGCGGACAAGTACAAGCTGTCGGCCGTGGTGATGCACGTGGGAGGCCCCGCAGCCGGCCACTACTACGCGTACGTGCGCTACAGGGAGCCCCCATCCCCGCACCAACCGTCGGAAGATAATGCAGGTGGGAGCGGCTCCGGTGTACCGGAAGCAGCAGCAACAGCGGGGGTCGTTGCTGACAAGCGGGGGGCACCGCCATCGACGACATGGGTTAAGCTTGACGACCATCGCGTGACCAAGGTGTTTGAGGGGGAGGTGTTGCGAGATGCTTTGGGGGGAGGGGGGGGGGTGTACAGGGGGCCCGGGGCTGAGCTCCAAGGATTTTTCGGTCAGGTAAGGCGTGGCAAAGCATGTAGCACAGGAGCATTGGCGCGTAGTAGTAGGCGGCCAGTTCGCGTTAGGTGCAAGTGATATGCCGTGCCTGGCAGGGTGGAACGGAACGAGGTCCGCCTTCTGGTGAATCGCGTGTCGCCTGTGGCTAGCTCTGGTTTGTACGTATTTGGCTTTGCAGCGATCACGTGTTTTTTTGCAGTAAATTAACGTGGTAGGCCAGAAACGTTGCAACTGCCCCTCCAAACTCTTGCCCTGCTTTCGAGATGAAATGCCGCACCCACGTGTCACTCGTCGCCCCACAACTCCCTTCAAGAGCAACCCATGGCCTCACGAAAATAAAACCCGTGGACTCACGAATAGAGAACCCGTGGAACACGAATAGAAAACCCGTGGAACACGAACCGGATGCTCGATACTTCACAGCATTTCAAAACAGCAATCGAAGATTTTCAGCATGCCGCCGTTCCTAACCGTTGCGGTAGCTAGACCTCGTTCGGCTCGCCGTCCTGGCACCGTCCACGACCACCGCAACGCCATGAACATTAACCACAACAGCATGTCAACAACCATCATGAGCAGCGAGGACGCAAATTTGAAACAGTAACAATGCCTCGTGTGACAGGTGGCAGGATCTGGGGGGGGAGGAACAGCGTCGGCCTACATGCTACAGTACGTCAGGGAAGAGAGGGTTGGCCGCGAAGCGACCGAGATGGCTTCCGCATTGGAGGGAAGAATACATGAAGACCAGGCGAGTATATATTTATGTTTATATACGTATATTAAGTGTCAAGTGTTGACCATGACTGGCTTTTTTGCGTAGCTTGCGTGAGGTAGTCGAGGAGCATTGTCCGAATGAGACGTATATTTTTCGAAAGAGATTACGGTCCAGATTAAGCGGGCGTTGTTCGTTATTTTCTTCTTATTCCTAGGAAACCCGACCCAAGGTATCGTGTCCGATATTCGTTGTCCATGCCAGAGACGAAGAGCAAGTACCGAACGCACGCCGTATTGTATGAAATCCTGCTGTGCCTGCCGTAGGGCCGACTGGAATACCGTATCGATGCCTTCTCCCTCTGGACCCAAGCCAACTCTAATGCGTTTTCATGAGGGTTGTGACTGTGTGATTGTTCCCTATGTACCAAGAACTGCTCGCGATAAGAAACACCAGAAACGCAGACAGCGGTTTATGAATGGCGTTTATTGCGAAAACTGCAAAAGCTAAACGCTGCTAGAACATAATTTTGTGTCTGCACTGCTGGTTTGCTGTGTGTTGTGTCTCTTCGTGTCCACCAGGCGAGCGAGTGCCCTGAACCGTGAGAACAGGACGTACGTGACTACAAGGACAATCTACGGACCCCTTCCCCACATGCATCTCGTCGCTAGATCGGAAGCGGCTGTGCGGGCTTCGATGATTGGGTGCTGCTTGCGAAGGGAGCTTGGGTCGAGTGATATGTTGCGCCAGGTTGCACCTAGCGTTGTGTGGTTGACCTTTGTGGAATGCTCTGCGGAGTCGTGGGTTAGAAAGCCAAGTTCCGGCGTCGTTCCAAAGGAGTCGTTGAAGCTGATGTGACAGAAATGTACGATTGCTATGAAATTGCTAGTGTTTTTGTTCAAGTTGAGCGACCAGGATTGTGAGATTTGACGAGTTACAGTAGGCGAAAGCCCGCGTGTGGTGACAAAGATGAAATTCTCACGAAACCGCCAACAACACCTCCATGATCGGGTTGGGGAGGGAAGGCAGCCACATGCATGCATCATGACCGTTTGAGTTGCTTGAGGAAAGATGAACCGTTATACCGTGCGGGCGAAGGAGCAGGATGGTGTTGCTAAGGGAAATGCGATTTCGCGGCTGGTTGATGTGTCTGTCATCCTGCGACAAGAGCGCCCCCCTTTAAAGTCGGGTGAATGAACGGTAAAGGACAAACCTGTCCACAAAGTAACGGTATCCCACTACAACATCCAACAACGGTGTGTTCTGGAATCTTCCGATCGGGCACAGTTCATCTCGGAAGTGACACGCGTCGACATGTCGTGGGCACCACCGACATGGCATCACCGCCCGGCTGAGATAGTCACGAACAGGAAGTTCATGTTTTTGGTGAATCCCGTGAGATCTGTCTACATGCAGTGTGTCCTTCCGGCGTAAAACCACTCAACATTCACTCTGCCTATGAACGCTGGAGAAACTCAAAACAGAGTGGAGCGTCGAAGTTTTGACGTCTGTTACATCGCAGCGGCTGCCAACTCCGACGGTCACGAGAGCAAGGAGCCCATGTTGTCGTGACGGGTTTCCAGAAGCCGCTGGGAATCACACGCTACAGTAGCTCAGCCACCTGCTGATATCGGTGCCCCCAAGCACGTCGCATGTAGCACATCTAAGCAGCACCATTAGCCGCCGTATGAAGAATTGTTGACCGTGACTTTTTTCTTACTGCCGAAACGTCCGAACTTGAACCGTCGACATCCCCGTACCCTCCTCCTCCAAACAACCAGCCCGCCTCATCCTGTGAAGGCACCGGCATCATCACTTTATCGTTTCCTCCAAAGACAGCCCTGGATAAATAAGATGGGGGTAGCGCCTCAGCACAGGGCACAGGCAAGCGTTGGGCTGACGCCCGCGATGCCCCCTGTTATACTCCCTGCGGCAAGCCGCACAAAGCATCGACAGAATGAATATTCTTTGGGAGGTGTCTGGTCCGTCCTTCTATGATCGATCGTCCACAGGGTTTTGAGGCAGTCTATCAACGCGTATTGGAATGCATAGGGACAGAACCGATTTCAATCACGACTGGAATTCACTTTGAGCCGTCTCGTCGTAGTTACTGTAGTCCCGATACCAGCAGCATCATCGACCTCACACATTCTCGGGGCATAGAGAGGCTTTCGGACCTTTCCCTATAGGTTTGATGAGGTTCTCTGGGCTCTTCGAGTGAAAAACATGAGTGAAAAACACGTCAGCCGTGTGAGCTGTTGAGCTTGGGAAATGTCACGGCTGGAAGCTGGCACCCAGCTCTGGGCTGGGCCTGCTACCGTAGTACATTTCACCTTTCAACGCCCCTTGGATGGCGTTGTGCTCACATGGACCTCGTCCAATGGAATCCCTTCTATGGCCATCAGTGTGAGTGTCAGGCGTATTTCCAGAGTGAATTCGCCGCTCACTCGTCTGCATAGGAATTAAATCTAGACCGGCATATTGCCAAGACCACCCCGTAAAAGTCGCACCGAAAAGAGGGATCCATGCAGGGTACCGAAGGAAATCTGTTGGAAATGCAGGAATTATGGAGGCTGTAAACTGTATGTGAAAGAACTCAACGTGCAACTTGATTTGTCGGTTGTCAGGCCCAGAGGGCGCGCTGAAGCAAGAGATCAACAACACGCGAACATGGTGCGGTGTGAAGGTGAACGACCAAGTGTGCCAGAACCCACAAGAGGACATGCCGGCAGGTGCGAACGAATAGGCCAAAGTATTGTGAGAATACCCTACGAACCCGATCCGCTAGATGATTGCAGGCAAGGGAGAAGGGCCAACGACTGAAGGTCACTCGGCGAACTACCACTTGTAGGAGCTGCTACTGTACCTTCCTTCCCGAATAGTGAGAGCGACCCTCGTCCTTATTGCTCATTTCACTCATGATGGCGAAGGCGATGACGATGGCGAACGGGAGTTTGCAAGGGAGAGTGAATGAGTCGATGTTTCGCTCGGAGAACGGAGAAGGAAGAGAGAGAGAAGCCTAGCAAGTGAGGTGGGTGCGGTGGCGGAAAATTGTTTCCAGCGCAAGGTACATCCTATACTGTCCATATTTTGTGATCCATCAAATGACACTCACGTAACGTACGTTTGCCTTTTCGCCCGCCCACCCACCGTGTGTGTTGGTACGTGCGTGTGTGTGTGACTTTACCACCTGAAGAATCTATCCATTAAAACGCCCAGAGCGAGAGGAACTCATAACGTTCAGGAAATATGTTGTCTAACCAAGAATGGTCAACACAACAAGACTCTTTACCGAAATACTTCAAGTGCAATACAAGGTCGTCCTTACGGACATGGGCGTCAAGCCTCCCGCGGGTGGCGCAAGCCCACATGCTGCGCATTGCCCGAAGAGGGGATGGATGTGAATCCAATTTTTGACGGGCAATTTTATAACGCATTTAGACTAAACATCGCGCACGCGGTTATTCTACATTGATTGGAGCCAGCTCGAGCGGACAGCAGCTTGCCAGCGAATAGCAATTTAGATGACGTGTGATGGGAACCGAATCTGAATCTGAAACAACCAACAATCATGTTCAACACTGTGGTTCCAAGCGCTAAGACTTGTCTACAGCAACAGCGTGTCACTTGGCCCGCTGCGAAGAGAAGAAAGCGCAAATTTTGGTGTTGTTGGACATTGCGATGATACAAACGAAGAGTCGTCACAGGAATCAGCGAATGATGAGTGAATTTATGTGTAGATGCATGTAGTTTTTGATGGGTTTCAAACTTGCTCGTCAGGCATTGTCTGGGCGAAACGCACCCCCGGGTATAGAGCCAGTTTTCGCAACTTTGGCCGTTAACCACACGCGCCACCTAGGCCTACCGAGCTGCGGGCACCAGCATCAATGCACCGAGGGCCTCGAGCGTGCCCCTGAGAAGGAAACGCGAAAAAAGACTCGCTGCCGCGAGAGAAAGAAATGACGAACCATGAAAAGTGACCAAATCAAATGTTCATTGTACAGAGTGCACGACAACACTACTACTATCAGGTTACAAAGAACCCTACACAGGGAATATACCACCTTTGCCTAAAGGTCGAGTGGGAAAAACACAAGCAAATGTGCGGTTCGTTGTGTGGCAAGCTGTGGAGGTGCGAAAACAAGAAGATTTGGGGCATTCCAGGCTCTGCTGCCGCCCGGTTGCAGATCCCCAGGAGCTATCTACATAACCCTGCTCAAGAACAGCGGCATGGAAGCTTCTCCCTCTGCGTTGGTGAGAACGGCAAGAAGGTTTCGTCACGTGAGACGACAACGACAACGGCATTGAGAACGTTTCTCGGGTTTCACATTTTACGGGGAATAATATGCATATGGATCTAAAACAATTGGCACCAAAACTCTTTATTACGTAGACAGACGCGAACTGCGTTGAGAACGGATCTACTGTACGGTTCTATGGGGGAATAAAAGGACCTCTATAAAAAAATATGTCGTGGTTCCATAATTTGAGCAAGGTTCGACACGCGCGCCCTTCCTCTCACAAATATTTCGGACCCACCCATCTATTCATCATTCGAAATTCATTGGAAAAATATGTCTTTTTACTCCTTTGCCAGGTACATTTTGACAACCCCGATGAACTATGAGGGTAATCATCGTTCCGCTGCAATGGTTCACTCTGCGAACCACCATGCTGACGAGATGAACCGAGCTTTTCTCGGGTCCGAATTCATGTGGGACAACGCTCGCCCGAGGGCACGCCAGGGACAGCGCGGTGACCTGTTCGGGTTCGTCTACACATCAGGAGACTACGACGAGATTGACGTTCGTGTCATCCTGGAGGTGAGGACCACCCAGGACCGCCGTGCTCAGTGGGATGAGGACATACCGGACCACAGTGATCGAGCGGCGATTGTTCTATCTGATTCAATCGGTTGGATCAGGAGCTCGGAACTTGCATCGAGCCAGAGCAATGCTCCTGTACGACCCAATGGAAAGATGTTGACCTCGAACGGGACTGCTTGCTACATATGGGACTCGGACATCCCAATCAAACCCTATGTTGGACTTGTATGAGATTTGAATACATTCGTCGGAAGCTCGTCCGTGAGTTGGGATGATTGGGCGACGAGACATCGAACAGCATGACGTAATTGTAATGAAGTACACTACCTAATGGAAAGTATGACGACCCGAAGCGGGCCGCGTAGAAGCGCAGTGATTTTATGTTCGCTCGGCAGTGTGCTGGAGCTCTTCCCTTCCTTCACGGAAAAGGGGATCGGCGTCGTTGTTCCTGACTTCCCTCACGACGGCGAAGAGAACGACGACGAGCGACCGGAGGTAGAGAAGAGGAATGGAGGAATCGATTCGTCGCTCGTGGCAGATTAAGACATAAATATAACAAACATTATTTCATAAATACATGAAGGTGTAGGGGAGAGAGGGGGGGGTTGAGCGGTGCGGCATGTGTGGGCGTGGGCGTGATGTTTGATTACGGGAGCCAATATTTTTCGGCCGCAAAAAAAATTGACTGATGAATCAGTGCGTGGGATGAGCACACGCATGCACGCGGAACTTTGTAACAATTTGTTACGCGCCCACCAGCCGCATGTGTGGGCATGTGCGTATGTAGGTGCCAAGGAACGCCCAGCGAGAGCGAGGAAGTCGTTTACTGTAGTTTTGCGAGAGAACGTTGCAAAACAACGGGAAATAGAATGAATGGTTCATACCATCAACAATATTGAGGGCCGTTCAGCTCTGCCTGCCCGGCGGTAAAGCCCAGGGACTCTGCTCTGCCCCAGAAACGATGCCGTGGGGAGCTTCCAGCCCTTGCCTAGTATCTTCTCTCTCGTTACTGCGGTGGTTTGAGAACTGCAAGACGGGTTCGTCTCGTGAGACAAGAGTACGGGGTTAGTTTTGAAAAAAATGAGTCTTCAAAATTGAAATTTGTCATGGTTCCAGAACGTGAGCACGGGTTCTGCCGGGCCCTCCCTCTCACAGAAAGGATATATTCCATTTTATGCATATCGATTTTCATTTTTGCGCGCGTAATATCAACCACTACGAAGAACAATAGGAGGGTTATCATTGTTTTCGGCTGAGATAGTTCACTCTGCCAACCCTCATGTAAGACGACATGAACCCAGCCTCTTTCGGGTCCGAATCCCTGCGGGGCAATGCTCGCCTGAGGTTTACGGACAACCCGGTGACCTTTTCGGGTTCGTCAACACTACATACATGTGTACCTACATAGACCAATGAAGAGAATGATAACACGACATGGTGACCCATAGCAGGTTCTTCTCTGCTGTAGCCGCGCCGCACGAAGCTTCAACTACTTCTCAAGGAACTTTCCATGTGCTACTGTACATACATGTGCCACACAACCAACCACGGTTTGGCAAATGAGGCACCGCCAATGACGCTATCAGGGTTGCCTGTCTGTTATAGGGCTTCAGGTGTTTTTTGCGAGGTTGTTGACTTCGCTCCTTCAGGTGTTCCGGCTCTCCTAACAATGTACTTCTACTTGCAACAACAATGTGGCGGGGGCGCCCGGTAGGAGGAATAAAATAGTGACACCTCTCTTTGCCTGAAGAGCATTCATTCCCGTGTGCCCGTTTCGGCGCAGTACACGTATGTATGGAGCTAGCAAGTAACCGTTTGGGGGAACGCCAAGGCCGCACAAGAGCCTTCGCCAGATCCTAGGTCTGCGTTCGCTGAGAATCGAGGCAGCAACGAGGCTGGCAGCAGGGGGGAGGTGCCGGATAGAGTAGTACGCAAACAGGGCAGCCAAGTAGGAGAGGCTGGGCACGTTCAAGATAACATCAAACCTGGAATGATATGTGGAGGACGTCAGCTGTGTGTGGTGTTCCGTAATCCAACCAAGGTGTAGAGAGAACAAGAGGATATGCCAAGAGAAAGCAAGCAGTCTCACGAACCTCCGTTGAGATGGATATTATTGTAGAGTGCCACTGGGGGTCTCGGTGTAGTTTGTACGTTCAGACCGCCTTTTCGGGGCCCTTACCACTGTTGACCTGTAAGGAAACGTTGACAGAGCACTGACTAAACGACAAGGGGCGGCGACCGGTGTCGCGCCGTCATGATGTGCCAGGTAGGAAACAATGATAATAATGACTTCGTAGATCGGATACAAACGTCCCCTGTGGACGAGAGAGGGTGCCCGAGTGCACGCTAAGAATTCCTTTTATTTCCAAAAACAATGTTGCTGTGTTGGCGATGAACAAACAACGGGAGTGGTGATATCGTCCACTACGAGCAAGTGCGAAGTCCCGCGTTGTTCAAAGCGACCAAGTTTCGCGCTGTACCCCGAGAATCCAGTATTTGTACCTTGTATCTATCATGTGTACGACACGAAACGGGGGTGTAGTCGTAACACCAGAACCCGACGGCGTCAAGCCCTGGACTGTTCCTAAAGTACGGGGAATCTACATGGAGACATCGATATTGTCCATGAAACCGGGTAAATACAAGGTGTGGCAAGTAGCTGGTTGTGTCCCGTCACGCCAAGCTTTGCACCGCCTGGGGGGCGCCAAACAGCCGGTGCTATCTCCGCTCACGTGAAGGAAAAACCAAAAGTGTTCAATATCGTCACGAAACAAGTCAAAAATATATAGAAAACACACAAAAACCTGCCACCGTCAATCTCACGGACCAACTCAACTGCTGGAATCTCGCATGCACTGCCATGGTGCTTCTACAAAAGCGGCTGGCCTACTTGGGGGGGCATTGCAAGGACGCACCACGCCACAACGAACAGATTCGGGCAAAAACACATGCCACGCACAACCGACAAGAAAAACGCAGAACGAAAAAATAAAAATGCGAAAAACATGCGCAACACCATGACTACAGTACTGCTGAGATACCACGGCACAATCCCCTATGCTTCTGTCTCCAAGCTGCGGACGAGGCATTCGCAATCCGACAGGGAGGAAATAGAATAAGGTCTAGGGAGACTGATGTGCACGAGCTAGCCGTCCACAGGCATCTATCCGAATCAAATTCCGTAACCCTTCCAAAATCACGAGTTCTGGGTTGGGCATGCACCGAATCCAACAAACAAGCCAAGCAGGAGAGACAGTGGTACCGACACACCCTGCCCTTTCAAAAAAATCCAAAATACGGTTCAAACTCGATGGCATGGTACCAGAAATAGGTCGGGCTTGGCAGCGCTATCAGGAGGTAGGCAGGCTCCAAGGGGGAAACATCAACGTAAGCATAATGCCTGCCGCATTGCCCCGCATCGTTCTACACGCCGGCGTGCAAAGCAGCCTTGTTGTCTGTCCTGTGTTGGTGTTTTCTGGGTGTCTGCCTTCTTGGCTTCCGCTTCCCGTACAGCAGCTTACCGTAGCTTCAACCGGATGTAGGGCACCTCCCTCTCGTCGTCCGTTTCCATGTCACTCACGCAAACCTTCGTCGGAAGACGAAAAGAAAAAAAACGAACGAAAAGGGGCAAAAAAAACAAAATCGTGGAGTGACGATTTCAGCCGAGAAAAGCGTGTACGCCATTCAAGCTATGTACTGGAGTCCCTCTTCTCGGTCTAGCCTTTCATTTCAGTGTCCCCCACGTTAGCACAGGAGTGAATCTATCACATATTATAGAATTCCCCACCTGCACGATACGTCTGTGTATCCGTATCTTCGAGAAAACATCATACAGCAGCCCCCCCCCCCCCCAAA